GGCCAGGTTTCGTGCCTGTTGGCAACCGAAACAATTATCTATTAGTAAATGTAAGTAAATGACCCTTTTATTGCATTTAGCGAATCATGCATCATGGTGCTAGATCTATATTTACAGACCAAATGGTCCTCGATGGGTGATATAGTCAACAGTATGCCGTCGCCTTTGTTTCCCAAACCAATACCTGACAGCCATTTTAGTCCGTTTTGGGTTGACCATAGGTCCGCTTTTACCGAAACAGTACCGATGAGCTGTGTCCCGGTCGTCTCGCCGGTACTCTAAAAATGTCAGCTGACCCGTTATACTAAAATCTATGAATAAGCTCTAAAATAGAACATACACTTATAGTTATATATGTAGACCGTATTAGACTTCACAGTGTTAGATACTTCTAGTGTCCTAAATATGATGAAAGCTAATGAGGAAAACATTTGTATTTTTATACTACACTAGTGAAACCAATTTAAAAACAATGCACGCAATCTAACTAGAAAAAAAAAAAAAAACGCTCACCAGAATAATGAATACATACATAAACTGAAAGGGAAAATATAAACTACACGAGTGGGACCAACATGAACAAGGCATGCAACGATGATAGTATCATCATTAACACCGTTGTTCATCAACAGCAGCATCGGTGTCCTTATCTAACCTTCATTACCATAACTCCGTTGCCAACTGATGAAGTGCTCAGGCCTTTCCCCAGATCTAGGTACCTAATAGTCTGCATCAGTTTGCTATCTGGATATTCCCCTCACATCATCGTTTTAGTCCCCTCAATATCGTTTCTCTTAGACTGTCTCTACTTCTTCTGTATCTGATCTCCCCTATAGCCAGAGGTTCCCCAGTGCCACTCTTCTGTATCTGATCTCCCCTATAGCCAGAGGTTCCCCAGTGCCCCTCTTCTGTATCTGATCTCCCCTATAGCCAGAGGTTCCCCAGTGCCACTCTTCTGTATCTGATCTCTCCTATAGCCAGAGGTTCCCCAGTGCCCCTCTTCACGTGATAAAGATATTGCTTCAGTTATTTTTTTCAGGCATCACTGATAGTCAAATATACAAATAGCGGAGAATGAAGAGTGACAAGCAAAAAAAAGTAAATTCATAATATCTTTCATTCACCACTGTTTACTTTCATTGTGAGGGTTAATAATCTGTCATTGATGTGGCACATAGAGAGATAGGCGGATAATAATAATAAGGAATAGAAACCGTGTCCACAATAGAGTTGAATGAGGTAGACCAAGAAGACAGTGGATAGATAATATCCAGGCAGACATACGAACACCTGGAGGCGCTAACTGATATCTGCAGGTATGAAAATGAATGGCTGAAGAAATGATGGAGAAAAGTAAGACTAATTGACATTTACTTTCGCAGTGTAAGATATTTGCAACAATCGTGTCTTAAACATTTATGTTTCCAAGGTCTTCTTAATACTTATAACCTTACGAAGCCCTAAATTCCCCTTGAGTATTTCCCGACTTTCTGAAAGAGCACATCGAACCCCATTTCTGTTATTTTAGAGTTACATAAGCTCTTCTTAAAATCAAATAACGACCACCAGTTTCATAATATACCTTGCTGCTCTCTGGCAATAAAAACCCGCCAGACCATCTAGGGACATTTTAACTTGTCAACAGTTTTAAGATGGCGATATACCACCCCCGTGTTTTGCCTTATAAACAGAAATAGTAGTTTCAATTTTACGGTTAACTTTCGTTTCATGCAAATATTTTCCGGCGAAGGCTGCAAGATTAAAGACACACAGTCTCACTGTTTCCCGTGAGATACAGATCTATATAAACACACTGTCGGGCTGTTACATATCACAAAAGGCTAGCAGTCTAGTCCGCAATTTGTCTTCTATCCAGTGTAGTCATTTCAACATAATAAAAGGTTTAGATATTTAGGTTTTAGACGACGGATCGACATCATGGCACAAGGGTAGTAACCCATAAGTGATCCGTTCTACTTCTTACTCAAGCCTGAGTCCGAAGAATCTCAGCGCAGTGCACGAACTCCGTATCACTGGCGAGGATCCTGAAATACTTTGGGTAGATGTTTAACTCAAAGTTTTGCCCGGGCAGCGCCATTAGGCTACTATTTTTTTTATTTCCAACAGCCAAGGGATTTTTTTTTTACGCGCAACAACACACGGGAGTCAGATCTTACTACCAAGAGACCAGGGGAAATTACTAGAAGTCCAGGTGAAAAAAATCCCAGCCTTCACCGTGTCTTCAATCCGGGACCTACAGCACTTGAGGCGGACGTCATGCCCCGAGACCGTGTAGCCCCCCCCCGTTTATCCAATCCAGTACAATGAGCTTTTCCCAGCAACGTTAGCTTTAAGGTTTTTCTAGGACGTCCTAATTTTATGAATTATTATGTTTCCTATTTCAGTGTATGCTACATTCCATGCCATCCTCAATTTTTCGCTTTTTAAAGCCCCACCATGGCTGTTGCCATGGGCCCTAATACAACCCAAATGTTGAACAGGGTATCCGGACCCTCTCCAAGTGTGATCGTCATCTGAATGGTGACACTTTGTGTTACCGGGTGTTTATTGCTTTGTGTGATATCCTGGTGAGGTACAACTAACTTAGTGTCTTGTGACTCTCTGCTCGCTTCTTCCCCGGAAGTGCCTAAAACAACGCCACTTTCCTTGTCTTATAACTGTTGATATCATCGATTGTCCGGACATATCTCTTATTTCACTAATTTATCACAAAGAATGCTTATCAGTTGAGGCGAAGATGCCTTACTACACAAATGACTTTCCAATATGCACAAGGGTAATCGACTAGAGACAATAACTATTTGTGATAACGTGGGAGAAATCTATTCCTAAATTCCTTTTATGTGACTATCCATGGTCTTGTTTGCTGCCATTCACATCTAACTATACCTTCTATATTCCTTCTATCTCAGCTATCATATCTCGAAAAGTGAACTAAAGATAGTCGCTAACGCTTGTTAAGACCTCGAAAGGTAACCTTAGATTGTGTTACATTCAGTCATCATGACCATCATCACTGTGACAAACTGCTACTTTTGTTGTGAAGCGGCGTGGTAATTGGCTTTTATCGTTCCGTGCGGATGTTGAATGCTTCTAATATCCTCGGTCCATCTTCTCCAAGGGTGCCCCTTTGCTTTCACGTCAGATCTGTTCAAGTGTTAAGTTCAGTACCTTGCGAAAATTGAAATGATTTTTTATTATCATTGTCATACAAGAGTTCGGACTTTTCTCAAAAATGACCTTGGCTCCCAGGTCGACCCAGCCTTGAGTGGGTACTGGGTGCAGTCCCGGAAAGTAAAGGCGGCCGGTGTGATGCTGGCCACATCACCCACCGTGTGCCGATTGGTCTTTAAAAATATAGGTCTAGCCTTATATGCCCTAGACGCCTGATGGCTTAGAAAGGGTCCTTTACTTTTTTTACATACGCGAGTTACGTCGCCCTCGTTTGTCAGTCTGTGGCTTGGTACATCAGATTTTGATACATATTTGATTTTTAGCCGACTTTCTGTAGCTCTCCACGCTGCTTGTAAGGCAGAAGGTTGTGTGTCTCATAGTCTGGCTACAATCCTTTGACATGTCCGACATGGGAGACGCTACAAGTAGCTAAATTACTTTCTACATGGCATTTGGGGACACTTAAACTCACAAGAGGCTTCATCGCAGCGGTGTCTAGACACATAACCTGGGGTTTGGTTTTATTATTAGCCAATTTAGGGTTCTCACGGTGGGATGTATTTGTAGTCCCATCACACCGGGGAAACTACGTCTACAGATAAGTTAATGTTCCGTAACTCTAGCAACTGTGACAAGTTAGCTTGTGTTCCCGTCACTCTAGTCACGGTGACACGTTAGCTTGTGCTCTCATCACTCTAGCTACGATGACACGTTAGCTTGTGCTTCCGTCACTCTATGTATGCTGACATTTTGGGGTTCTCATGGTTGCATGTATTTATAGTCCCATCACACTAGGGAAACTAAGTCTACAGACAAGTTAATGTTCCGTCACTCTGGTTACGGTGACACGTTAGGTTGTGCTCCTGTCACTCTAGCTACAGTGACAAGTTAGCTTGTGCTTCCGTCACTCTAGCACCGGTGATACGTTAGCTAGTACTCCCGTCATTCTAGCTGCGGTGACACACGGTTGCCTCTGTGCTCCCGTCACTCTAGCTACGACGACAAGTTAGCATGTGCTTCCGTCACTCTAGCTGCGGTGATACGTTAGCTTGCGCTCCCATCACTCTAGCTACGGTGACAAGTTAGCTTGTGCTTCCGTCACTCTGGTCACAGTTACAAATTAGTAGCACACTTTACCTCGTTTATTTCAACAAACATTTATTTCATGGCAAAGATCAAACAGGAGCTACACCGTTGTGTGTGTGTGTGGCTAAGGCGCAGTGGAGTTGAGTTGAGTCAAGAACTGAATTCACAGTGTTCGGGGTATTTCCTTACGTGCTCCGTCCTCATCTTCAGCAGCCAGCGCAGAGTTCCAATACTGATGGTAACGGTCACAAAATGGTTTTATGTCCGTCTTGCCTTTCCTCTGAGTTTAGTCAGCCGGCCAGACCCTCTGGTTACACCCAGGTGCCTCATTCTCTCCAGGCCATAATTTCGTTTCTCTAATGTTTCCGTTGCTTGTTCCCAAAGTGCCTTGACTACATCTGCCTTGTCATGTATCAATTGACTACCCATTGTGCAGATCCAACCAATTTGACTGCCTGCTCATTACTCAATACGCCGGTATTTGCTAATCTCAGTCTGGATGGCAAACAGGGACACTTTCAGATATCCCATCTAATCTCATAAGAAGGTATAATTAAGGCTTTAAAAAAGGTGGGAGATACCACCCGGGGAAACTGCAGTCCTTGTGTGTAAGGATGTGTGCATGACACGATCTATGAGGGAAATTGAATCCCTTGATGTGTGCGTGACAAGATCTGTGACTGAAACTGAATCCCATTATGTGTGCATGACAAGATCTG